TTCTATCACTTACTGTCATTGTGTTTTTTAAATTGTATTTTAAGTTTTCTATTAGCATTTTGCTACATCCCTATTTAACTCAGCTGCTTTATACCTTTATTTCGTCACGATCTAGCTAAATGCAATAATGTATTACTTTATGTAAAATGTAGAAACCTTATAGCCATATTTGTCCATTCATCACCTCCCCTATCTTCTTTGCTGTAAATTCTCATAGATATTACACCAGCGCATTGTATAGAACATCACAATACACCATTTCTCTTTAGTTTGGGAAATTTTCTTTAACATTGCTTGCAAAACAGGTATGCTGGCAACAAGTTACCTTGTTTGATTTTTCTGAAAATGTCTTTATTTTTATTTATGGATGAAATTTTGCTTCATATAGTATTGTGACTCACAGTTATAGTCTGCTGGTCTCCATTGTTTCAAATGCAAAATCTCCTGTCATTCAAATCTTTATTCTTCTGTCATTTTTCTGGGTTTGTTTTGAACAGGTTCTCTTATTTTTGATATTTATGACTTTGATCATAACACTGTTTAGGTGTAGCTTTCTGTGTCTTCATCTTACCTGGATTTTGTAAGCTTTTTGAATATATAACTGTAAGTCTGTGAGTGAATTAGAGAAAATTTCCATCATTAGTTCTTTAAATATTTTTTCCCTGCCCAGTTCTCCCTATCCTTTTCTTCCCAGACTACAAATGCATATATATTTGACCTTTTGATATTGCTCCTCAGGTTACTGAAACTTAGATAATATTATCATGTAATTTTAATCTCTTTTTTAGATTATGGAGAAAATATACATATTTCTTTTATCATTTCCAACCTGCTGTTAGAATACTCACTGAATTTTGAATTATAAAAACTGTAACATTCACCATAGGATCTCTGTTTTATTCTGTACTATAGTATCTATTCTGCTTTGGAGATTTGCTGTCTTATTCATTGTGTATATTTTCTTTTACATCCTTCAATATGATTGTAATACATCTCTAGAGCACTGATCTGCTGATTCCAATATCTGAGTCTTCTCATGGTTTGTCTCCATTAACTGCCTTTTTTCCTTGAGTATAGGTTACATATTCTTTCTTCTTCATAAGTCCAGTACATTTTTATTGTGCCTGGACATTGTGAACGGTATACTGTTTTGTTTTAGGAGGCAGACGACCTAGCTATAATTAAACTCTAAATGGAAATCTCTGTTCTCTTCTTCTCTTCTCTTTGTTAAGATTCTGGAAATCTTTCCTGTGCATGTTTAGTTAAAGTGTCTGCCAGAGATATGGGCAGATTTCATGTCTGAAATTTGGGGAATTTCCACTCTGGATCTCTCCTTTTTGGGATACTTTCTCTCACTATCCACCTGTTATCATTGCCCCACATTCTGTCTAATTTTTTTGTTTTGTTTTGGTTTGTTTTTTTGTTTTGTTTGATTTGTTTTTTGGTATCAGGGATTGAACTCAGGTCCTTCCGCTTGCGAGGCAGGCTGTGGAACCACTGAGCTAAATCCTCGGCCCTCTGTCTGATTTTTATGGTTAATAAGACCACTGCTTTCTTTTCTTTACTACTTTTTAAAATTTATTAAGCTTATTTGTACATTTTAGGTATAAAACATAATGACATTCATCAGTGGGAATTTGTACCTTTACATAATCTCTCTTGGTTCTTATTTTTTTCCTCATTCCCTTGCCCTGCCTTTAACCCCTCCACCCCTCACTATTTACAAAGACTTCGTTTCCATTTTTTCGTTTTCTCATATTTATTCCTTTCCCTTCTTTCCTTTCCCCTACCCCTCCTTCTTCCCCTTCCCCTTTGCCCCTTTTCTTCCTATTTCACATTATCTATTATACATTTTGATCCTTATTTACACTTTCAGTTTCTCACACCAGAGAAACTATTCAGTATTTACGCCATGTGTGACCTATTTTTTTCACTTAAGAGTATGGTCTCAATGTGTATCCATTCAGCTATAAATGTCTCTAGTTTCTCATTCTCCCAAATTTAAAGACCCAGTCCAAAAGTGGGCATCTGAAATGAACAGACATTTCTCAGACAAAGAAGTACAAATAGCAAATAAACATATGAAAAAATGTTCAAAATCACTGGTCACTGGAGAGATGCAAATGAAAACAATGCTGAGATTCCACCCCACCCCAGAAAGAATGGCTGCTATCAAGAAATCAACCAATAACAAATGCTGGCGGGGGTTGTGGGGAGAAAGGAACACTGCTCCACTGCTGGTGGGAGTGTAGACTGGTGCAACCACTGTGGAAATCAGTATGGAGATACCTCAAAGAACTAGGATTAAAGGTCCCATTTGACCCAGCTATTCCCCTGCTGGGTATCTTCCCAAAGGAAACAAAAGAATCATACCACAGATATTATATATGCACCCATGTTTATAGTGTTTATAGTGGCACAGTGTGTAATAGCTAAAACTTAGAAACAACTGCCCATCAATCAGAGACTGGATAAAGAAGATGTGTTGTTGCTTTTTTTTTTTTTTTTTTTAATAAAATGGAGTACTACTCATTCCTACTTTTTTACTTTTAGAATGCTGCCAACTGGATCCTGCCTGCAGAGTAAAAGGGTTTTTTTTTAAAGGAAACTTACGCAGTATCATTCTTTTCTTCCCATTGTTGAAATTCCCTCCACTATCTGCCTGCTCTTGTTCACTCTCTAGTGTCTTCAGGTAGGAATTTTAAAAGTATCTTATCCAGTGTTTGTACTTACCTTTGGGAGGGTTGGCTCATTTGGTGTTACTGAGTCTGTACTTATTGGAGATTTTTTTTTTTTTGGTACCAGGGATCGAACTCAGGTCCTTGTGCTTGTGAAGCAGGCGGTGAAACCACTGAGCTAAATCCCCGGCCATGGAGATTTTTCTTTACCCATGCAATGCCCACATATTGTCATTGTGAATATTCACTTCCAAGGATTTCTAATGCTTCTTTATAGTCATTCCTTTAGTGGTGGGTATTTTTTCTGAATAACTTCTGATTTTGAAATGCTAAATTTTATTGTAGTAATTTTTCCATGTTTTCTCATTGTATAAAGTAGAAGAGGTATTTCATGTTCAATTTGATAATTAAGTAAGACTCATTGGGAAATTATAATCATTATGTGTTACTAAAATTCTTCAGTATGTAAATATGTCTCTTTAATCTTTAAATGGTTCTTCCTTTAAAATTGTTTGCAACTTCTCTCATCATATATCCTATATATTCCTCAAGGGTTCTGGAATACAGATGATGTATCTTTCCCCCTTTTAAATGGGACTTTCATTTATTTCCTTCTTCTTTTTATATTACCTTGTCATTTCAGTGATAATTTTTCAAGGGCTAAGGGAGAATAGTATATTTGTAGCTTTGGGTCTTGAGTAAAAGCAATACAATCTTAAAAGTTATTTTTAACTAAAGTATAAAGATATTTGAAGTGACCATCAGGTACCTTAATCTATTAATATGTAGTGCGTGGTTTAAAGCAGAAATTGGTTGTGTGGTTGGCCTGGTGTGATTGTCACCTGGTTCTGGTATCCGGTTAGATCATTAGGAAGGTTGAGTAGACTGGACATGAAAGATAGCTTGTTCACTTGGGATCCCATCTAGGGCTATCTACCAGAGCACCTGCATGTGACACCCTACATAACCTGGGCTTTTTGCAATGTGGGGCTGGGCTCCAAGAGGGAGTGTTCTGGGAACAGTATATATATCCCACAAGCCAGGAAGCAGATGGGATGGTGGGGGCAATGTTACAAGACATGCCTTAAAACTAGGATGGCATCACCTCTGCCCTATTTCGTTGGTCAAAAAACTCCATGCACCTTCATCTTTCAAATGAAGTTCTCTTTTGAATTTTAAGTAAATATACATGTATCAAAGAGATTACATATGTATGGTACTTTTTCCTTTTCCTCATTAATTCTACTTATTTGTTCTCAATCCTATTTTTTTCTGAGGTTAACAGCACTAATTTTGAGAGTAATAAAGTCCTGTTGTTTCCAGATATTCTCTCTTAGGCAAACCATCACCTATCTTGGTTTACTTTCTCCATTTACCTAACTTCCCAAATAATTTTTTGGAATAATTGGAATCAGTTTTAGGTGATATCAGTCAACTTTTGAATACAATGTCAAGGAAGACAGTTCCTATTGACAAAGAGACCTTCAGCTTCACTGAGAAGCATTCAATTAGATGGAAGCAGATGCTTAGTTTTGTCTTACAAACCTCAATGCAGGTTATGTGGTAATTACTTCGAAGAGCAGGGTAACAATTTATGTAATCAGCAGGACCCTATAATTACTAATGCATAATTTCTAAACAGCATTTAGCTAAATGAGCCCCATACATACACTTTGTAATGGAAAAGATGTGTTTGACACCATGGTAAATTAAATTAAAAATTTGCATATTTTCTTTCAGGAAATGAGCTAGCTTCCCTCTATTTTGCTTGATTAATTTCAACCTACTTTGAGTTCCGTTAAAGGATCATGGAAATGCTGAATCACTATGATAACTGCGTAGGGGGATAAGAACCAAGAGTGAAAAAACACCTCCTTCTCTGTTGTCTAGGATGGTAGAACATCATTCTGAGAGGTGATTTGGAAAGTTAAAGCTAGGCAACTTATTTCTGCTGAGAGCTTGATGGTAAAATGACACGACTTGCACCATAACAAGCAGTTGGCAGTAGGAGTAAGAAACTTTTCACCTAGTTAGTCACAGTGCAGTTTCAAAAACATTCTATTATGGTAGATCATATAGCGCTAGCATCAGACAAGTCACAGGTTGTTTTATCTTCAGGGGGTAGTGCATTTTTCTGGTATTTTAAAATTTACATACACATTCACATCACTAGTTTTCTAATATTTCAGGTGATGCACAAATTTAGAGCTTCTTCTGTAGTTCATTTAGGCTCTGTACATATTAAGAGAGTTAAATATTAGTTACTTATATTCACTTTCTGAGAGGCTATTGATAACATTGCACACATTGATTAATTCTTACCTACAGTTCCTGAAGTCATGTCAAGAGGGTTACCAGTCTCCTCCTCAAAGCTCTGGATCTAAAACATCAACATATATTTCTTTAGAAATATTTTCATAATAAATCCACTTCTTGAATCAATATATAATGAGTGTTTACTGGGCACTAAAAGTGGGATAATCATGAGTTCTTGAGCTCTAATAGTTTATAGTCTTCTGGGAGAAAGTTGCAAGTTCAAGGCATCAATGATGCAGAATCAAAGAATTAAAGGAGTTCAGGAGAAAGGACTATCGCTTCATGTGGAAAGAAATGGTTCTTCCTGGAAAATGTGTATATTATGCTAGAATTTTTGTTGCAAAAAATATTAAAATATTTGGAGAAAGCAAGTTAATTATGGCTTGATAAACTTAGGGAGGACAATTTAGTTGTTACATAGTCCTTAGACAAATCACAGAAAATTTAATTTCCCAATTGATAAAGTACAATGTAGTTTTGATTTTTTAGAAATTAATAAGCAAAACTGTTAATGAGAATAAAGCTATTGTTAAAACAAAATAATAACTATTACTTTTAAAAGAGTAATACAGCTTACTACAGAAATGTGTCACATAAAAATAGTTTTTAAAAGTAAGAAGACAGTTACTTTTACCATTGTTGAATGTTTCTTTATTCTGGATATGGTTAGGTAGCCAAGTTTTTTGACTTAAAAATTTGGAAAGGAAACTCTTTTCCCACATCATGAAATTTTTTAGAAGTATCCTTTTGACAACTGAACAATAGGCTATACTTTAAAGGTACATTAGCTTATTTAACAATTTTTTTCACTGTTGGAGAGTTTTCAAAATTTTCTGATTACAAAAAATGCTGAGATGAGTATCATTGCACATACATCCATTTCTATATGTCATATAATTTATTTGAAATTGGTGTTTGTTTCATTTGGAATTATTTATTTGGAATTTATATTGAACACTGAATCAAAAAATGTAAATATTCTAAACATTTTGGCACATGTGGCTCAAAACGACCTTTAACATAGGAATAAACTGAGAACTATGAGTTAGTAGCTCAGCAATATATATTATGTTACACTTGTAATCAGACATACTTAACAGGTTTGGTAGCTCAAACCAGTGTGGATAATGTACATTTTCAGGTGTAACTACGAAAGCTCTTTTCCTATAATGATTATAATGAAGAAAAATCCAGTTATCACAATTTTAAGAACATATTTGTCTAATAAAAATAAAAGAGAAAGGCCCAACTATTTAAAATGGATGCCAGATGTATTCCTGGACTTTCTACCTGAGCCAGACTTATTAATTAATAAAAAATAAATAATCCAAACTTTTGAAATAATCTATATCTAATCAAGATTTTTATTGGTATTATTTAATAATATGGCCATAGTTGTTGCTGTGATTTTTATAGGACAGAATCCTTTTATCCAAGTAGAAGGGAAGGATAAGATTATGTATCATGGATATAAAGAAACATCCTGCCATGAGTTTATAATTGCATAAATATTAAATTAATATGTCTGGGAAATCTAAAAGATAAGAGGTGATTCAGTTTCACTAAGAAAAAATTAAACACACAAATCTAGTAATTTTGGCATTGTAAATCTATGCACAATTGTTTTGGAATCAGTTTTGAGAAGTGAGTTTGCCAAATGGAGCCTTTAGTAAGACTTTAGGGAAAGCATCAGCAATTGATCTGGAGGCAAAATCTGGCCAGTTATAGCTAGAATTCTGTTAGCTAGATTAGATCATAATTTAAGCGGCATGAAAATCTGTTGATATCATACATATTTCAATTTCTTATAATTGGATTTTTAAAAATTTGCCATTGAAAAATATATATTAAATCTGGCATTGGCTCCTGTTTAAGATGAAATCTACCCAAGCTTAATTTACTCATTCATGGATACTGAGTGAAACACATAGTTCCTTCATGTTGAGATTGTAATGTATATGTATACTTTTGTAACAATAAAATTTAAGTCATTTCTTTTACATTATTTTTAGAGTTCTCTTTACCTTACATATAATCTCTCACACATGCGAATCCAAGAAAATATTAAAGGAACACCAGAAACAAACTTAACTACAGTTCAGCATAATAATCTGTTTTTCTGTTAATGCCGATTTTCAATTAAATTAATACTTTTCATACATTTAATGTTATTTAACTCTTTCAACAAATATTCACTGAGTACTATATGTCAAAGAAACAAAATTCTTTAAAATAAAGTGTCTGTATTCCTTCTCTTCCCCCCAAATATAAGCTAATAAATAGGTTTTCCTTGAATATTTCCATTTAAAATGTTTGAAAATGTGTTGAGCGAGACCTGACATTCTTTTTATTTCTTCATGTGAAATTTGCTCTTTACTGATTCCTGTGTTCTCACATATAGATGACACACACTGGACACTATTTTTCCTCTAAGTCAGCCTTGCTTGAAGTGGAAAAAACAGAGAACAGTAGACTAGTGAGACTTAAGGGTGGGTGGAAGTTTAATGAAACTTCTTTCTTGAATTTCAGCTAAGATAGCAGACTGACTAATAAACTGCAGATTGATTTGACAATCATTAGAGTCATGGACTATTAATTTGGTAAGCAAATACTCTGGCAAGATTAACGTAAAAGAAAACAGTCTACTTTTATACCACTTCCATTTATACTCAAATCACAGAACTTAACCAAAGGTCTGTTTTCCTTCCTTTTATAATTTTTTGCTACTATTTAAAATTCAATCCTGTGTTTTCAGGTTATACAATTTCTTTATATAAGGGATATGTATACATATATAACATTCAATATATAATATACATATGGTCATTAACAGCTAAATATTTTAAGAAAAGTTTTATATTTTTGTTGGGCAGGGAGGGCTACCAATAGATATATTTACCTGGCTAAATCTCATTCTTCTTTTAAGATTATGGGGCACGGGATTTAGCTCAGTGGTGCCATCGCCTGCCTTGCAAGTGCAAGGACCGAAGTTCGATCCCTGGTACCAAAAAAAGGATTATGGTCAGGTTTTTTTTTGTTTTTTTTGTTTTTGATACCAGAGATCGAACTTGGAACCTTGCGCTTGAGAGGCAGCGCAGTGCCACTGAGCTAAATCCCCAGTCCCATGGTCAGGTCTTGCTTCTCGTTAACATTTTGATCCTTTCAGCCCCCTGTCTGGTTAAGAATCCCTTTAATTGCTGCCTGCATACTCGATGACATGTCTGTAGAGTGGCTTAAAAGTACCTCTTAGACCTATCACTATCCTGCCAATGTTACTGCTTTCTGTGCTCTTCCCTGTCACTTCTCTGCTGTTCCCCTTAAGGCAGATTCTGTTACCAATTCTATGCTGGTCACTCTGTGCCTGGCAGGGAGAGCTCTCAATGGAGAAGCGACTGCAAGTTGCGATTTGCAGTGCTTTTATATATTTTAGACGGGGCGGGGGGGGGGATGGGAAGATATACTCTTGTTTTATAATTACTCCTTTGTAACTTAATTACATAACTGAGTCATCAAAGAGCTAACTTCTGATCTTAGTTGCCATTAAGAGGAGAGAAATTAGTGGAAATATGTATATATATTTTAGTGGGAAGAAAAAGGCTGAGGAGTACAGGTGGAGATGTTATTGAAATGAGAGTAAAAATTACTGTGAGTGAAGGTGGGGATGAAAGAGCAGAGGATGTTAGTGAAATGGGGTCAAGTTGTATGAGTACAAATATGGATGAGGCAAACAAAATACTAAGTCCCTAAAATCAAAATCAATCTCGAGTTCCTACGGCTTTGTCCAAGGCGTTGTAGTAGGCATTGTGGGTCAAATATTTTGAAGGGACATTCCCTGGTCCTGAGGCTGCTGAGAGTTTAGTGAGGAAGTAGCCACTAATGCATACACAACCCTAACAATGAATGTCCTTCGTGCTGAGACACTGAGGACACAGAGGAAGAATTACCCAGGCAAGTTTCACGCAGTGTGAAGAAGCTGAACTGACCTTTAAAGAAGCTGAAACATGGAAGGTTAGAGTGCAAACAAAGCCTGTGGAAGCAGATCTTGAAACATTGAGCAAAAGCAAAGTCAGAAAAGACTTGTAGATTCAATTGTGAAAGAGAAAAAGAAAATGAATAGGAGAAAGCTGATTTCACACTAGTTCATTTCTGAGTGAAGCAAATAGAATGACTTTGAATGTCTTACTCTAAGCTGAATTTGGAAGAATAACGCGTGATGTTGAGCTGTCCAAAGACAGAGTGGACAAACAAGCCCTGGAGGGCAAGGACACTGTGAAGCAGATTATTCCCTTTAAGAAACTGAGCATGTGGATGCAACACTGACCTCTTCCATTTCAAAGGAGTCTGGTGTTTTACTCGCAAGTTGAGACAAGTGTTTGAGCTTGTTGGTGTGAATCGAGTTTTCTTTCTGAGTTCCGTCTTTCACTGACTCTTTCGACTCACAGGAAGGAGAAGCTTGTGTGACCAGCATAGATGAACAACACCACTGCTTGCTCAAAGGAGGTTGAGGAGGGTGGCAAGGTATCAAGCCAGAATAGACAGAATGACATTCTGCTAAAGGAGACCGGTGACTTTGGTTGTGACTGATTGAGGCTGCTGATAACTCTGCTCCATATTCCTGTGGTTTGGTAGAAGAGATGAAAACTCCATCCTTCATCTTGAATGATTCTGATGTTTCTGTGTAGTAGTTCCTCCCAATGCTCTGTCTCAAAGCTCTTTGGAAAAGTTTACTCATTCTTCTTTGACGCTCTTTGACCCCACTCACTGAGGTTGTGTTCATTCTGTGTCCTCCAGCGTTTTCTTCAGCTTTGTTCTGCAGAGTGTTAACATCATTCAGCAAAGATGAGAAGGCACTGGTGACATGGTCCAGTACTTCCAGCTGTCGGAAATGGCCTGAGGACCACAAGGAACGCATAAGTTTTAGATTAAATCTTTTCAATGAATCTGCATTAATGCAATATATGGGTGTGATAAAATCTGAAGAGTTGGCTAATGTGTGATTTTCAAGAGGAGAGAATTTAAGTTCTTAAAACTCATTTTTTTTTCAGTCTTTTTCTGAGAGAGTGCCCCTACATAATAAGTATTTCTGTGTTATGGGGAGAGTAAACACTTTTTGCATTTAGTTGAATATACATAAATATATAGATCCATATATGGTCATAGTTTTATGTGTTATTCTATTAAAAACTATAGACATGTGTGAATCTATGTACTTATGCATATGAAGGTAAATGTAAAAGAATGAGCTTAGCTCTTTCAATATGTAGTGGTTTGAGATTCTTCCCATAACTTCCTTGGTAGATGGTAGATATCTTATAATCATATCTACCATCTCCATCACTTGAGGTTGTGCATGATCGTGACGTTTGGCCTTAACCCAAATCCTAGGTCAACTATTAACCTCAGATATTTGACCCCAGAGTACATGAATTAATATGTATATAGTAAGTAGTAAGCTTGGTGCTACACAGAGTAAATGCTCAGTTTTTCATCTAGGGAATCATGACTGTCTTATGTATTTATCACATCTGATGTCAGCCTTGAGACAAAGTTGTAAAAGTACAATGATATAAAAATATCATTTGTGAAAATAACAACTACAAATGTGCAAGTCTCAGGAAGGGAAAATACAGTATTGGCTTTAGTCTTTGTTAAGAAGGTAGCCATTAATGTGAAAACCATTTATCTTTCAAAACAAACTAGTTTATTTATTTTTTATTTTATTTTATTTTTTGGTACCAGGGATTGAACTCAGGACCTTGTACTTGCGAGGCAGGCACAGTGCCACTAAGCTAAATCCTTGGCCCACAAACTATTTTAAATTGTAAGCCTTTCTGGGTGATCTGTCCTCAATCTTCATGAAAATTATGCAAGTATTGGCCTAATTAGCCTAAGGGAAAGACCTAATGCATTAAGATTTAGTTTGTATACCTTTGCCAGCTTAAAAAATGATGACAGATATATATATATATATATATATTTTTTTTTGGTACCAGGGTTCGAACTTGGGTCCTTGGACGTGCAAGGCAGACAAGGCAGGCACTGGAACCACTGAGCTAAATCCCCGGCCAATGACAGATACTTTTGATATCCTAAGATAATAAAGCCATGTAAACAGCAACTTGTGGGCAAGTATGCTGTCAATTCTGTTGTTCATCATCTTAGCAAAGTTACTAACTCTTCTCTGAGCATATCCTCATGCCTACCTGTTTCTTACACCTGAAAGGAGGAGAAACTGATTAATAATCATCTTTATACTCCAAAAAAATGTGGTGGCTTTCTCACCAAGGACTATGTTCTTCATTCAAGACCTATAGGAGAGCCCGCTGCAGACAGGCAAGTCTGTGCACTCCCTACCAAGGTCCTGAGTCATGCAGAAGACGCCTAATCACCCTGCTGCAGACATGCAGGTCTGCCCATGCCCTACCAAGGTTCTGAGTCACACAGAACATGCCGAATCAGCCCGCTGCAGACAGGCAGGTCTGTGCATGCCCTACCAAGGTCCCGAGTCACACAGAACATGCCGAATCACCCCGCTGCAGACAGGCAGGTCTGCCCATGCCCTATCTAGGTCCTGAGTTGCACAGAACACACCAAATCAGCCCGCTGCAGACAGGTAGGTCTGTGCACGCCCTACCGAGGTCCTGAGTCGAGCAGAAGACACCAAATCACCCCACTTCTGAGCCACCATCCCACTGCTCCTGGTCCAGAGGAAGGGGTTTCCTGGCCACCATCCCTCCGGCTGCTCCCAGCCCACAGGAAAGGGCTTTTGGGT